CTATAATAATATTAAGAATTAAATGAGGGTTATTTTCATTAAATAGCATGCTATGCCTTCATGGTGATATACCAATACAGCAGACAATTTACATAATTTTGGGGTAATTTTTCTTTTATAAAAAGCACCTTCTTTGTGTCAGCCATGTTGTTATCAGTATTGATGACAATGGTTCATGCCCAAGACAAGCAAGTGCCAGCTGGCCTCTCATTTTAAACTGGATTCTTCCGAAGCTTAATTAGGTAATACACTTGACAGAAAACATTCCCAGATTCTTCATCACCCTTTGGAAATACTTCTTGGTAGCTTTTTTGGTCTCACTACTAATGGTCTGAAGCAATGGGACTGGAGAAAAGCCAATACAGAGGCTGTACTGATAAGCAGGTGGTATCAAAGAGTGCCAATTTCCTTTCTAAGTGGATCCCCCCCAGGTTAGTGTGACACCCCCTTTCTAAAAACAATGAGACACACTCATCATGGCAACTTAATTAAAAAAAAATCACACTATCACCTGCTGAAATTGCTACAGAAAGCCAAAGAGAAGAGAGACACTGCTTTAATGATTCTTAGCCCTCCAGGGACTTCATCTTCAGGGGACAGAAGCACCAGAAATCAAATCTGATGAGTAATTTTCTCAGGCCAGGCAGCATCCAAATATCATCTGACACAGATCTTCATGTTAGTTTCCACTTACGTTTAATGGTTGAATAATCATGGCTCATAAGTTTATCTTTAATAATGGTTGAAGAAGACAGTTTATTAGCAGATTTCGCAGGCTGTGGGCTTGTCAATTGCTGTTCCAGTGATTGTGTGTTTTAAATATCACAGCTGTTGGTGGTTTTATTTATTTATTCATGATCTGATTCCTGACTTTCTCAAATCTCAGCACAGTGAAAGACAGGCTCTTTTCCTCTTCCCTTTGAATTGTGAAAGGCTGCTGTGACAGTTCTTACCCGGGAGCAGGGAGTGTCATACAGGGTCCTATAGTATGCAGAATAAAAAGACCTGTCTTTCTGAATCAGGAAGGCCTCTTTCTCTGAGATTAAGCCTTCTTTTGGGGGGATTTCACTGTCAGTAAGTGGGAAGGATGAATGGAATCCTATCAGCCTCTCTTAGTCAATGATAGCTCCCCCCAACCCCCATCCTTCGTGTGTTTCTTGGCTGGGGAAGCCACAGCAGAGCAGAAATGCTAATTTTTCGGGCAATCCATTTCTTACTCACAGTTAGAGAATACTGTGAGTCAACACAGAAAGTACAGTAAGTCTAAAATTCAGCTAGAAGCAGCAGCTTCATGATTATGCCTAGCGTCTTTCATTGAGGCAATTCAGAAGGAGTAGGAATTGAGCACGGAGACGTGGGGGAAGGGTGTCATGTTTTACATTTGACATGATTTCATCTGTCTTCAGCAAATCCCTACGAGGGACTGCCATGTGTTATGATCTCTGTTTTACACGCCAAAAAAAAATGGGGCCCTGGACTATTGCGTGACTGGCAGAATCATAACTAATTGAAACTATGCCTGGGGCAAATTTGTTTATGAGATAACTGGTGGGAGGGGCAAAGATGCAGAATAAAGAAGAGAAAGGGGGATGGCAGAGTAGAGGACAGTCCCTCCATAGGAATAGTAATTATTAAAGGGGTGGAGGCACTAGCCAGAGCAGGAAAGAGGAAAATCCCACCCTCAGTAGTCATGAGAATGAGTTCACTAGACCACCCTGGCTTTCATCCATAAAGGGAACTGGAGGGAGGACAGCCTCAGTAAAGAACTCAATATGTGCTGAACAGGGGCAGTTGTCTTTCATATTTTCAGAGAACCCAGTGGGGAAGCTAGAGATAATAATAGCAGAAAAATAAATAGGTGTCTGCCTGCTTTGGATGATTTGAGACAAAGCCTTAATCCATTCACCCAGTGTTTTTTATGGCTCTGGTGACTGTGAAAGTAAAGAATTGTATAAAGTACCAATAAGGCATTGTTATTTGACACCTTTGCACACATGCAGAACATTGTAGGGGGTAAGAAGAAATCACACAATCTCTTCCTTCAATTCAATTTAACAAGCATTTATTAATTTCCAACTACACGAAGAGCACTGGTTCCTCTTCATGTACCCTAGGGAATTGCTAAATGCCCCCCTCCCCCATAATGTAAGGAAAGCAACTTAGGTTTGAGAACTCTGATAGATGCACTGACCAAGGATGACTTCGGAAGATTAATGATGCACCATGCCTCTCAGCTCTTCCCAAGGAGGTACAGAATTAGACATACATTTTCAGATGTGGCCAATGTGTTATTTTTTTTTTCTTCACTGTACTTATTGTTACAAGCAGCCAGGTGCTGCAGCAAATAAAGTGCTGGGCCTTGAGTCAGGGAGATTCATCATCACAGGTTCAGATCTGACCTCAGACACTTGCTAGCCCTGAGACCCTGGGCAAGTCACTTAAACCTGTTTGCTTCAGTTTCCTCATCTGTAAAATGAGCTGGAGAAGGAAACCACTCCACTATCTTTGCTAAGAAAACCCTAAGTGGGGTGACAAAGTGTTGGACATAACTTAACAACAATTTATTGTTATGAAACAGGGCCCCTGGATTGGGGTAGGGGCAAGTTAGTGGGAAGTGGTAGGGATGAGGAGAGAAAAAAAAAAGGAAAGAATGTCAATAAAACATTAAAAATACACACAAAAAAGAGAAGCTCAGAAGGGGACAAGGAAACAGGGGAATTCTGTTCACACTTTGTTAAATTTACTAGATTTTTCTTAAAAGCAAACCGTTCCACATGTATTTCTCTTCTTGTTCTTCTATGGATATCGGAATGTTTGCATTTCTTCATGATTGTTAAGTTCATAATAAAAAAGAAAAATGTTTTAAGAGCTCATCTCAAATTCCCTCTTGAGAATAGGAACTTACACAGTATTTTATGATGAGAAGGTACAGGGCCTGAGCCTTGGCAGTGATGATGATTCTCTGGTTCTCTGAAGTACACACTGATTAATTGGACATTTGCTCATCCCAAACAATGTCTCTGTATGAGACTCAGACACAGAGGACATGCAGGAGGTCAACAGGATTTGGTCTCTGACGCAGACCAAACCTGCAATGTGCAACAGGGAGGGGATTCACTAAGGTCTTAAACGTGGCTTCATGTACAGTACCAAGTTATTCCAGTGCAACAACAACCTTGGACTGGCAACTAGGATGACAGATGGCTGTTGTTATAGAAAGGTTTTATAAGATAATTTATAGTCAAGAAAATATACTGCCTCGGTGTGGGCTATTTATTTGCAGAGGGGGGCAGGGTGGATTTTAGGGGGAGTGATGGCCTGCAACCTAATGGTGTAATAGAAAAAGGACTGGATTTGGACCTTGGAGATCTGCTACAAACTAGAGATGTGGCCAAGGATAAAGTCACTTAGCTACACTGAACCTCAGCCTCCTCTTCTGTGAAATGGGATTAATAATACTTGCCCTCAAAGCTGAAACTAATGTTTTTTTGGACAAGAGGACAGTAGTAGTATTGATAGTTCCAGAGTGGTGGAGTAGGCCCACTCAGGGTAAAAATGTGCACTCCCGACCACATAAGGCTTCTAAGTCATTTGCCTTCTTTTGTATCCCCTGGACTCAGCTCAGTTCTTGTCACCTAGTAGGTGCTTAATAAATGTTTATTGTCTGAGTGACAGCTGTTGAAGATAGATAGTGTTACCACTACCACTATAAGAGTGTAGCTGTTGAGGGTGGGGAAGAAGTAAACTCCAAGATGTTATTATTAGTGCCACTTATATTTCCTGCCCTGAAGGCAAAGGGAGGGATGAGCTGTTAAATGTTTAAAAGTTGGCTCTCAAAAAGAAAAACAAAATTACAAATGATGTATTTCAATGCTTAATCTGCATTATTATTTTCTCCCTCACTTTCTTAAATCTAAATAACTAAGAAAACAACAAATCAATCCCTGATTTGTAGTGTTTACAGATTTTTGAGGTATGAATGCTCACACTGGAAATTTAACAATCAGGTCTCATAAGCCTGTCATTGCTGACTCCAGCATGCCCCTGAAAGTCTCTTGTGATTCTATCCTAGTTGGGTTATGCTTATACTACCTAACTTCACAGGGATATTGTGAGAAAAGCACAATGCAAATCTAAGTACTATATAAGGACAGATTATTGTTTTATTGGGAATCCCAAAGAGTTTGGAAAGGTGATAGAAACTGACCATCTAACAGGTAAGAGAAAGATTACAGGAAGCATCCTTTCTGACATTTCTTTAGCAAAATCCAGGGCTTTATACAGATCACAAATTTTCCATCTTAGGAAAGACCGAGAAGATCCACTAGTACAAATTTACAAATTAGAAAATGGAGGCCAAGATAAAGGAAATGACTTATTTAAATTCACACAAGCCAAGAAGTATAAGAACAAAAGACTCAAACCTAGGTCTCAACTCCAAATCTGGTGCTTCTTTATCCTACCCCCTCATTTTGCAGATGAAGAAATTGAAGATGAGGGAGGTAGGTGACTTGGCCAGAATCATACAAGTAGCAAGCTTCAGAGGAAGAATTTGAGCCCAGATAAAGTTTTTGGCAGGGAAAATTAATGGGAAGTGATAAAGATACATTTTTTAGATTCAAAAGCCAAAAGTGATTGAGGGGTCCAACTAAGAGCCAAATGCTTCTCTCATATACTTGGTATTTTAAAAGAGAATACTTACTTGAAATACCAAGAGGTCTATAGACTGTATCTAAATGGAATTCCTTGAATTTAAAGGGCCAAATCGTGGGATGAATTTTCTGTTCCTAAAAATACAAACTCAGGGGAATATAGTTTCTAGAACAGTATTTTTATTTTTTGACTTATTTTGAGTGCAGAATGATTCTTGTTTTATATAACAGATGGGTTCCTCAAAAGTTGTGTGTAAATTCATTTTTGTAAATCAAATGGGAAGTTCCTACTAAAAGAAACCCAATGGGATCCTCTTACAAAATGAAAAATCATATGAGATACAAATAATACCCCTTATTATATCCATCTTTTCAGTTTGGATTTTCTTATTCACTTGAACCTCATTATAACTGGAATGTTATCACAAAGGTCTGGATATGCTACAGGTTAAATTTTTTTTTCCTAAAATATAATAACTACATAAAGCAAATGTTTAATCCAGCACAGGGGACAGAACTAACACATGCCTAAGAAACCAAACAAAATCAGTGTTATAAAGGAGCTCTATTGCTTTGGGTTTCTCAAAGCAGGATATATATTTTTTGTCAGGAACTTATGGTACCTTTAAGTGAATTTCAATACCAGTGTCAGGAAGGCTGTTTGGCTCAAAGTCCAAATCAAAAAGCCATTCCCTGAAGGTGATGAGGTCCTCCAGATGCTCTTGATTGCAGAAAACATTATGCTGATTGTGCCAAGCCTGAGAATATTGCAATGGCTCCTGGAAGAGATCCAAAATCACTCAAAGAGTTAAATCTCATTATTCACATAGGAAAAATCAGGTGGATGAAGAATGTTTATTGTATACACTATGATTTGCAGTTGGATGAACAACACATAACTGTACCATTTGTGTGTGTGTGTGTGTGTGTATGTGTGTGTGTGAAATACCAATCCATCCTCCATTCAGCTGCTAATGTGATTTTCCTAAAACACATTTATGACTGCATCACCTTGCCCTGTACTCAATAAATTCCACTGGCTTCCTCTCACTTCCCAGATCAAATACAAAATCCTCTGTTTGGTGTTCAAAGCCCTTCCTAATTAGGCCTACCACTCTCCTCCCCTCCCCCGCAATTTTCCAGTCTTCATAGACATTATTCCCCAGCATGTACTCTTCAGTCGAGTGACATTGGCCTCCCTGCTGTCCCATGAAACAAATATTCCATCTCTTGGCTTCAGGCATTTTCTTTGGCTATGCCCCATGCCTCTCCCTCCTCATCTCTGCTGCCTGGCTTCCCTGGCTTCCTTAAAGCCCCAACCAAAATCCCATCTTCTACAAGAAGCCTTCCCCAACCCCTCTTAATCCCAGTGCTTTCCCTCTGTTAGTTATTTCCTATTTAGTCTACCCTATTTGTTTGCTTGTTTTCTCCCTCATTAAATTGTAAGGTCCTTGAAGGCAAGGACTGTCTTTTGCCTCTTTTTGTATCCCCATTGCTTAGCATAGTGCCTAATACATTGTGAACATTTAATACATGCTTATTGAATGACTGAATACATAAGCAAGTATGTATGTATGCATTCATGCATGCATATGTGCATGTGTATATGCCAATGTCCCCCAAAATCTTAGTGTAGTTTTAAACTATTAAGAACATTTTTTCAAGTTTTAATAGCTTAAAACTGCAGTAAGACTTTTTGGGGTAGGTAGATACATAGATAGATATAAGAGAGATAGATGTATACACATATGTATGTACCTATGCGTATACACACATGTATGTGTGTGTTATATATAAATTATGTGCATGTGTGTGTACATGTGTATGTGTAAACATGTGCTATGTACCTGCATGAGTGAGTACATGCATGCATACATGGCATGCATACATATATACATCCATAAATACACACAGATACTCTAGATGGGAAATGAATTTGTGGTTATTCAGTGGTTTCAGTAGTGTCAGACTCTTTATGATTCCATTTGGGGTTTTCTAAGCAAAGACACTGGAGTGGTTTGCCATTTCCTTCTCCAAATCATTTTACAGGTGAGGAACCTCAGACAAATAGGGTTAAGTGACTTGCCTAGGGTCACACAGGTAGGAAGTGTCTGAGGTTAAATTTGAACTCAGGAAAATGAGTCTTCCTGACTCCAGGCCCAGCACTCTATTCACTGTACCACTTAGGTTTTTTTAGGGAATAAATTAGGTCCTTAAAATTGAATAGGAAGAGGAGAATCAGCTGTGTGGCATCTGGGAAATGGTGTGCTACTATGGATGATCCCGAGTTTCTCCCCCAAACAAAGAACTACCTTTTGAGCATCAAATTCTTCTTATATTACAGAATTATGAATTAAAGAATACCATATTCACCAAAGTTTTAGGTTGCAGGTCATCCAAAGGGTAATGGGGAGTTTTATGGTGGGAAAGTGTAAGCCACAACACATTACCTGTGAAGAGTTGCCCAGGAGAAATGGTGGATCTGAAGAAAGAGATGTGCTAGTCATGAAGCCAGAGAAAAGGACAATGTAGATGGATAGTTAATGATTCATTGGATACGCTGGACAAGTCTAAGAGAATAGAGGAGCATCCGCAGCACAATGCTTGTTGTTGTATGTCCTTCATTCTTGAAGAGGACCATGACACAGGGAGGTGATGCCATGACATGCAGGTGAATTGGATTTAAGTGAGGGAGGGCTGTGCAAAGTCACCAGCCTCACTTTCTCCTCCAGAGCCATCTGAGTCCAGTGGCCAGATATAGATCAGGACAACTATAGACTCTCTGTGAATTATTTGTGACAGGACACATATAATACATAGAATGAGAAGCTATGAATGGTTTAGGATCTGCATTGTTGGAGGGATTACCTACATCAGTGAGATCCATAAAAGTATCAAAGTCAGAGGCTTCTATTTTAATTATTGTTATATGTGAAATCCAGCCTTTTTTTCAGGGAGATAGCTTTATTTTATTAATGGGGAAAATGGGATTTGTTTTAAACCAAATTTCCCAGAATACAAGTGACTTCTTCAAGTGAGTCATACACACAATCCCTCTCCCACACATAAGCCTTCAGGTTACATATATACATGTTTATTTTCCAAAATGCATTCACATCAATTACCTCATTTTATTCCCCTCAGTAGCCTTCAGGTAGGTAGGGCAAGGCTGGTTGGTATGGTTTTCAATCAAATGAGGTGCTGTATAGAAAAGCATTTTGAAAGCCATGACGTGATACACAGGTCATGTTACTATGACTATTGCAACTTCCATTTTCCAGATGGAGAAACTAGACCTAGGGAGGTTAAGTGACCCACCCAAGGTGAAACTGGGGGTCGCTGATAAAGCTGGGGACTGAATTCACATTTCCTTGCTCCTGTGCCCTGTGTTCTTTCCGCCAGCCCTGCGAATGCTAGAGAACAGCTTGCAAATGTTAATGAATAACTCCCTTTGGCTCCATAGAACTGCAGAGCCAAAAAAGTCATTTTTTTTTCAAGGCCCAGAAGTGAATTCTTGGCCTAGAATAGACCCACCATCAATTTGCAGTCTGGGCTGAAGGCATGCTTGGCATGAGAAACCCACATTAATATCCCTTTCTGCCTGTGACTGGAGGGAAGGGAGGATGGAGGAAACAGTTTTCTAAACAACCCAGGTCTTTGAAATCCATGCTATGGGTCAGTCCTTCCTTAGGTAGACGTAGCTGACGCTACCATGACCTCTGCAATACTGATAAACTTGTCATCCCTCTTTCTCAGAGCAAATGATTTAAGCAACCACATCTATATTTTGTCTCAAACCTTTCTTTGAAAGCTGTATCAAAATTTGGAAGAAGATAGGAGATACAAGGGAAAGAAGATTGAGGGTGGGAATGGTTGGAATATAGGATTACAGGTCTAGAGTACAAAAAGATGTCAAGGTCATGTACTCCAATACTTTCTTTTCATAGTGGGGAAAGCTGAGACCCAAGAATATTGTTAATATTCTTGCCTAAGATAACACAGGCAGTAACTCAGAGGCAGAATTTAACTCAAGTCCTCTACCTTCAGGATCAGTGTTCTTTCTCCATGGATTAAGTTCCAGGGATATGCTCACAGGAGCTGATTGTTAAATTTCAATGTGACATTTATGGTAGCTGGCACATATTAGGTGCTTAATAAATGCTGATTGATGGGGCAGCTAGGTGGTACAGCGGACAGAGAACAGGACCTGAAGTCAGGAGGACCTGAGTTCAAATCCGGCCTCAGACTAAACACTTGACACTTACTAGCTGTGTGACCCTGGGCAGGTCACTTAACCCCAATTGCCTAAAATAAATAAATAAATGCTGATTGATTGATTGAAAATCACCAAACACTGTAAATTACAAGCTCGAGCCATTAGTTTATTGATTATCTAGACTTAAGAAAGTGATGGATAAAATATTAATAATGCAGATTAAGTTTAAAAGTGTGTCCTGCATACTTTTTTTCCAGAGAGCTGGTTGTTAAACACTTATCAGTACACTGCTTTTTAAATCTTTCCCTGCTTTTCTGAATTAGAATATGTGAAATACAATTTAAAAATTTCTTGGGACTCAGTGTCAACATTATTAAGAGCACAGATCCTGAGAAGTGCCATAGTCAGCTGACCCCATAATGAATACTTTTATCAGAGTTCTGAAATTTTATATCCATTTTCAGTTTTTTTCTGTATCCTCCTTCATTTTTCAACTATCAACTATCTCTTCTTGCTATCATCAGTGTGCCAACCTTTACCAATCCCCTTCTCCTTTCTGATCTACTGCTTCTGATCAACTGTGATTAGAAAGCTAACTAGACAAGTCTGTTCAAAGTGTGTGTAAAATAAAAACAAGAGGATCTAAATGAGGGCTCTCCTATGATACAAAGTGCATGACTGTTAGCGAAGAGAGACAGAGATGGCTCTAAATCCCGTTCTTTTTTTGTCAACTCCATATTGGTAGCCCTGAGCCCTGTTATTATGTTGTTTTCTTTTTGGTTCTTGGCTTTATTTCAGATAAAGAATTGAGACTGTTGGATATACCCTTAGGACAAGTAAGACAATCAGATAATTTCTTCTGATTATGTAACAAATCTGAACAATTAAGAAATCATGAAATTTGAGACCTTAAAAGGGCTTTTAAAAAAAAGCTTTATGAAATACTTATTGTGTGCTGCATTAAGCCTTAGGGCAGTACAAAGTTGAAATGGTCATAGGGGAACAATACTAGCAGACATCTTAAAGTATCAAATCCAACCCTGCCTTTTTTTCTTTTCTTTTTAAAAATATTTTTTCTGTTTTTATATTAATTTTATTTCCCAATATATCCCTTTATCTACCTAACTAGAAAGCCATTTTTAATAACAACGATAAAAAGGTGAATCCATCAAATTATCAAAGTTGACAAAAAAGAAAAAAGAAAAATGCTGGAGGGGTTGGGAGGAAACAGGTACATTAATGCACTGTTGTAGAGCTATGAATTAGTCCAGTCATTCTGCAGAGCAATTTAGAACTATGTCCAAAAAGCAATTAAATTTTATATACCCTTTTGCCCAGCAAAACCGCTACTCAGTTTATATCCCAAAGAGATTTAAAAAATGAAAAAGGATCCATTTGTATTAAAATATTTATAGCAACTATTTTCATTGCAGCAAAGAAGTGGGAACTGAAGGAGTAACTTCCACTGGAGACTAGCTGAACGAGTTATGGAATTTGTATGTGATAGATTGCTAGTGTGCTGTAAGAAATGATGAAAGACACTGTTTTAGAAAAACCTGAGTA